CTATCGATTCCACCGAGTATCCGTTTCACATAAACAAAAAGACTCAAAAACGTTTTTTCACCATTAGGTGCCACGGCTCATTTTGTAATGCTCAAAATAAGCCGAATTAATGGTCGTCAGAACTTTTACAGTAAAATACCTCATATATGGGTCTGGTCTCACACTTTAATGGCCTTTTTGAATAGCATCTAATAGAAACGGACGAAAAGGATTCGTTTTTCGTTTACTTGTATCGAATTCTAGTAAAAATTGTACCCATTCCTACAAAGGGTGATACAATAAACGGATGATTTCAAAGTCATTTAACTAATTGATTTCTAATCATACCTATCTCACATTAAATGACACCAAATCGATCGAAAAACAACGTAAGTGGTAATAATTGATAGAATCTAACAAAGAAACGCCAACGTTCAAAAAGTCAATGTGTACGGATGTCAATTCATGAACTTTTGAGTTGATTCTTTTCCTTTTGTCAAGTGTTTTGTTGATATAATTGACTTCGGCTTTCAATCATTGAGTATATTCTTTGGTATCCCGTTCTTTACGTTCAATTAATTATTAATTACAAAGAGAGAATTATTTTTCGATCGATTTGGTATCATTTGATGTGATGTAGACAGAAACCAACGAATTATTTGACATTGAAATCCTCTATTTATTCGCTCTATCACCAACTGTATAATAAGTAGTACATTCGACTCTGAAAGTCATTAATGTTAAAAAACTACCTTTGAGAAAGCCTGACAACTAGGACGAAACGTTGGCAGTTATTATTTTTTTTTGTTACATAACAACACTTTCTGGCTTTGATTTCACACTAAAAATTGCAAAATTGCAGTTATGGGCAAGATGTACAGTGGGATCTTCGCCAAATTCCAATTAGGCAGTTTTTTGCTATAAAACATTAAATATTCATAAATATAATTGCTTTATCATTCTTTGAAAAATCCCTTGCTACAACAGTGAGTTATTTTAAATTAAAAACGAATACCGAATCCTTAAAAGTAGTTCTAAGGAAAACTGCGTTCGATCGTAGTAGACGAGGTCAAGAGGGGGTAGTATCTTACGCTACTAAAGGGTTCTTCGCAATCACTTTAGCTTCTCAAATCCTTCAGCTAGTAAGTGGACTGTTAAGCTAAATTCAGGTCAAGCTAAAACAGTTTTCTCGCCTGTAGCAACTTTTAAAGGAATTTGAAAACGTAATCTCAATAGAATCCAATTTCTTACTTCAACATAATCTCCTTAATGTTAATTTATACTAAGAGTTTATACCAGTTGAGTCCGTTCAAAGGATAATGGGTACTATTCAGAGTTTTTGTTCAAATAGCACTGCAAATATCAGCATTTGCCAGTGAGGATGAATACCTGGATTTCAAAGTTAAGTCTAAGAAGCATTTCTTCTTCTGGTTGGACGTTTTAAGTTTTATTACTCAGATAGTCGAATGAAATTTTACAAAACCCTATTAGGTACTTTAAAAGCTGCGTCGAAGGTATTTTTGGTCATTACTGACTCAGTGATGGACAAACCCACAAAACTCCATATAGTGGACTTTTTTAATATCACACTGTGTAGTGGTTTTGATTTCCACGTCAAAAAAACTGAGAAAAAGGGCTTATCGTTGGAATAAATTTAAATGTGTCGACGCGAATGGCACTTATTAATAAGCCACGGTGGCTTCAAATGTCAATTAATTGATAGAAAAAGGGATTAAATGTAACATCAGCGAAACGTTACTGAACACGACGAAGCCTCCATCGTGTACGACTTTATGAACAAAGAAGTGCCCACTTACACATTAAAAAAAGAAAGCGTTTGTATGATGGAGAATTCCTGTTCTATTCACGGGAACAATCTGTGCGAACAGATTTGCAGTTTTCTTTTCACTGGCTTTGTTCGAATTGAAAACTGGTTGCCTCAAAGAATAAAAAAAAACAATTCCACGTTACTAGGTTGTCTCATATTAATCCTACAGTACAACTTCTGCAAAGACCCGGTCACAAGAGACATCTGCTTCTCTTAAACCGTTACACAAAAGGTAAAGTTTATTTGTTCGGGATAATCTGTAGAAACAGACGTCTTGAAATTTTCGAAAAAATTATTTCGTTCAGTAATGAAAAATTTAAAAAAAGTCGATGAAAATTTTCTAAAGCTCTAGTATTGTTTGAATCTTTTCAATACAAAGAGAAAGTACTTCCCGACACTGAAAGTTGATAATTAACAAACCGAGTAATATTTTTGTATTATTTTATGAAAATGTGCCAAAATTTTCTTTTATTACCTACTACTTTGTTCAAAGTAATATCCAAAATTAATAGCTATTAGATTCCCGATTTTTTTCTTTAGAATATTTATACCTTGATGCAGATTACATCTCTTCATCCTGCGGAGGCACAACAATGCTGCAAATGTAAAAGCAATATTCCAAATTAACAAATGCCGACACATATTTGTAAATTTCTTCAGATTTTATAAATTTATTTGAAAAGAAAAATACTTGAAAAATTAAGTGTGGAATACGACACAGATAGATTCTGTTTGTGGCATACATTTCTTGCCCTTAATTCGTATTATAAGGAAATTACAGCCAAGAGGGTAGTAACGTTTTTTGTTTATTAATTTAGATCCGACACCAATGTTTCGCCTCTTGGTAGGAATCTTTATCACAGTAGATTTCTATAAGTATGACGACCATATAAAGCTAATTTTTGTGTCCCTTGGGAACAGTATATTTTTTCTGGATAAAAGTTACCCTATGTTCTTTTCAGTACCTATGACAATGTATGTACAAAATTTCATGATGATCGGTTGAATAGCTGAGGCGTGAAAGGGTAGCAGACAAACAAATAAACTCACTATTGGTTAAAACAAGTCATTTGGAATATAACATCAGCTTTCCCAAATAAACTCTGATCAAACTTCCCACAAAGAGGCAAAAAATTGGTGTTGGCTTTAAACTATTAAAAACCTTTATGTACTATCCTCGTGGTGTTCAGATTTCATGACATATTCTCAGAGAGGAAGTTATGTATAAGTTAATAAAATCTAATTTAATAGTGTACGGAGAAAGTAGACGGTGGAGGTAAATGTTGCGGTCAGGCAAATACCTTTATAAGTACATACATATGTTTAAGTTTCTTTATGTAAATCAAATGTAGATATGAACACGCAGTACATAAGTCGTATTCATAATTAAAGTTGTCGCGTCTATCGCGAACGTGCATAATGCGATAATGCCATCGGATATGCGACGGGGGGTTCGTGAAGTTCTTTGTTGGGTTAACAGCACAATGAAGGCGTTTCTATAACCGACGCTCGACGCGACGGACGGACGGGTGTTTTACACACACAGAAATATACATACATTTAAGTACAACATACTAAAAGGAACGAACACATAAATCTCGCCCTCACAAAGTACCCTTCATGGCCATGGCCACGGCTACAGCAGCAAAAATAAGGGACGTTTTTGTTCATCCACTACTGATCGATCGTGTGCAGTATATGATCAAATCTAAAACTCTTCATATTTAAAAACCTAGTGAAGACGCCGGCTTACAAAATCTCTTGCCTTCCCTTCACTCCTGTTTCTACTACTAATGTGTCTGCAACAGGCGTAACTCAATAAGTGCAAATACCTGAAATGGGCACCAAAAAATTCATGTTGCCTTTTCCTACCGTAACCTTATAATCGACAAAAGTAATCAAACAAAAGCATATCTACAATTTTGATATAGTTACAATAGCAACAGCAATTAAATTGTGCATCCTGCACTACGGTCAACCTGCCCAAGATATCCAACCGAATAATTAGCTTAGGAGAACCTGCTACGTGCGAAAATTGGGCATGTAGAAATGTCCAATTGAATGACTTCAGTTCAGCCCTACATGCCTCAGAAAATTTCCTTGTTGACTTCTAGTCTCCTTCTTTTCCCAATACGTTCTCGTTTGTAATCTTTGTCAACCATATTTTTGTTATCAGCCTGCAATACTACATAATCTTTTTCAAATTTCCAAATTAGCCGATAGGTAAATACATCAGGAAAATTTATTTATTATACAGTAGAATCCGCTTATAATGACATCGAAGGGAAATGACAAACACGTCATGTCAACCATAGTCTTAGACAATAAACAACTTTCTATTTTGGTTAGTTATTTAGTTTAATAGAGAGAAAAACTACAAATTGTATATATTTATTAACAGAAAAAGAAAAAGAACGATGAATAGTAATATCAATATACATAAGAAGGGTCAGAAAAATGAAAGAAAATGTTATTATTAATCATTTAAGTCGCTATAGCGATTTCTTTAGAATCAGTCATAATAAACGATATGTCATTTTAAACGGAGTTGTTATATCCAGACTTTCCTATAGAGAATTTAATATGAAAACCAAACTTAACACTGCAATTACTTCATATTAAACGGTTGGTCAATATAAGCGGAGTCATAATAAACGAATTCCACTGTATTATGTTGATGACGACGTTTTACAATTTTTTATGTGGTATCTGTCCATTTACAATATACCTTCATTATTCTGTTTCAAAAGGTGAAAGTATAAAGATGTGAAGCTAATAAAACATCAAAAATTGGTCCTACAAGCCTTTTCATTCTAAATATTCCATTATTCGTACAAAGTACCTTACGAACCTAATATTTATTTCGTGGTCTAACGGACAATTCTAAAACTTAGTAACAGAAAAATCAATAAACATCGGAACAAGTGATTCAAAAGAACCAAGTTAAAATTAATGAGAAAAGCGGAACTTTCTGTATTACGTATTTTCCCTTTGAAAATGACGTAAACGCAAACAATCTGAGAGCGTCTAGATAGGTACCAAAATTATTCTTCATTACAAACAAACTCGAGGCGGAAATCCATTATCGTGTTGTTGTTGAGCTGTTAAATGTCTTAAAATTTCTCATATGCACTTGCACATGGCGTTTCCCTGTATCACGTTCTTCAGCTGCTTTGTTTCAAACACAACAGGATTTGACACCAATCCCCTTTATTAACGTATTTCACATTATCTTTACATACAAATTGAGACATCAATTAATAAGTAAGCTTTTCTTTTACGAATTAATTTGAGTAAAAGATATTAATGTTGATGAAACAAATACTAAAATGTAGTCATGATAAAATTTTGATTTTGTGAGAAGCACGGCGACAATGACGAGAAATAATCATGAATTTTTAATGGTGATCTATTAATTATTGTTACCATTACTATTAAATATTGGCAGTAACGTCCAATTTTTAATGATCTGAATATAGCTAGATAATTATAGACTGAAATTAAATGGAAAACACATCCACGAAACTTCCTTTTAGTTGTTCGAAGCCTCTTTTAAATGTGTAAGGAAATCCTTTTTATATCTGACAGATATTTCAAGAGGATAATCGTCTGTATTTTGAGGCTTGGGCTCTTGATCATGTATCGTTGAAACAGATTCAGCTGCGTAAACAATCTCCTTAAATTTCTCGTCGATTCGATTTTCCAAATAAATAATTTCTTTCGTCAGTTGCATCTTCATCTGCATGAACTCGTTGTTCATAGTTTCCACGACATTTTCTATGCAATGGTTTATCAATTGCGTTATTAAATTATTTAAAAACGAGTAATCATCGGATGTACTACTAGTATTACTGCACGAATTTTCTGATATTTCTTCGTCTGCCACTTTTCGATCCAAAATAACCGAAGGAATTTGAATTTTTATTTCCGGCTTGGAATTAATCGCGATTACCGGCTCTTTAATAATCGCGTCGCCCCCACCTGATACCGCTTCATCCAGGTTATAAGCATTGCCATCCCTTGAGTCTTCAGATATACTTTCAAAACTTCTTCTATCCTTGAAGAACGTATTAACGTTCAAACTTGAACATTTCTCGCTTTGGATGTCCTCCACTTCGGGAATATTACGTGGTGAAGTATCACGTTGTTGGAATTTGATTTTATAAATGGACGTGTGAGGAATTAGGGTACGATTAGGAGTGTTCATGTTCCTAATATCGTACCCCAAAATTTTTCCGTCAATAGATGCCACAACAATTTGTTCGCCATTAGGAGCAAAGTCAACCGAACTCAGTTGATCTTCCAGATTGACCAGGGCTGTACGTTCGCCCGAATTTAAGGAATAGATGCAGAACTTTTTATCTAATCCAACAGTACAAATCATGTCTTCAGTCTTACTGAAAGCTATGTCCATTATACCACCGTTATGAGATTTCGTGGTAAACAAACTGTTTCCTGTTGGAACGTCCCAAACTGCCAAATGACCAGAACAACTGGCTCCAGCTAAATATTCCTCGACGCATGGATGACAACTCATGGCCGATAGGTCGTAACTGTTTGGCACACAATAACTCGCACAAATTCTCCTCTTGTTGTTGTATAAAACTATTTGGCCGCTGCTGCACCCTGCTGCCAGATATAAATCATTTACCGAATAGTCCAAGAACTCTACGCAAGCAGGAATAGTTTTAAGTACGCGATTAATTGTCCTTTGCTTAATGTCGTACACCAAAATACCTCCGTTGTCCAAACCTAATGTAACTTCGTGGTTTTCTACACGCGAAAAAGCAGCTGCTTCTACTCGCGACATTTGTATATTATCCAGGACTTGTAGGAGAGGTGCAGGACTCACGACAACTGCCGTACCGAAACCCATCGTCTGTACCAAGACAACGGTATCACCATCTTTCGACCATGAGACACATTTGATTTTGTTACTGTTTTCAGGCTGATAATGACCGTAAAATTTCCCAGACGGCCAATCATGGAATTTAGCGTCGGCGCCACAAGAAGCGAGAAGCATTTTTAAAAACAATTACGGGTAATAAAAATAAATTTGGCCCTCCCAAATTCCCCTTACACTTAATTACAATTTTACATGAGTAACCTACATTGACATTCTGTTTTTTGACAAAACGTGAAAACTGTAAATTATCAGAAACAAGAATAAGCCAATGAAAGTCCGTACCAGACACCGNCTACCGATGACGCAGATTACGACGAAAATGTCACGGAAGTCCCTACTAATCCGCCAAATAAGATCACTCCAAAGACTGAACCAACCAGTGTGGAAACTACTAGAATGGAAACTACTCGCGCTGAAACTCCTTCTCCTTCTTCGTCGTCGTCGTCAGAAGCCCTACATTGACATTCTGTTTTTTGACAAAACGTGAAAACTGTAAATTATCAGAAACAAGAATAAGCCAATGAAAGTCCGTACCAGACACCGCCCCTCCCCTAAATTAAGAAACTAATGATACTTAAAATTGGGGAATATTATAATAAACTTAGTATGATATTAGTGCTACTTTTAATCAATCGTTAAAAATTTTATTTTTGAATAATGTATGCACCCATGATGACATAATTCCTAATTAGTATTTTTCCTTTTTTGTGAGCTACTTTTATTATTTAATGATATTACTAAATTGTACATTGTTATACCTTCAAGTACTACTACAAGTATAAAGATCCGATCGCTACCACTAACAATCGCTTAAATTAATATAATAAAATGTATTAGAAATGTATTATCAAATATGTGTCAAATTTCTTAATCTTTTGGTGAAAACCGCATCTAAATCAGTTAAGAAATAACCGAGTTATCCCTTTTTAATGTTTCCCTGTATGTATTAATTCATTTATTATGAGTGGCGCCTAACATTGTTTACATCTACTGAACTTGACCTACTTTTAATCCGAAAACCATGATGGCCGCCGTTACGATAGCCAATCAGGTGCATCTACTTGCATCCAGCTGGTTTATAACAATGAACTTGCATACCTGAATCAGTCACCCTCGATGCTTTGTAGGATGTACTTCATTGCAACAAATTTTGTGTTATAGTTACGTAAAATATGATATTAAGTGTTTCGTTAAAATTACGGTATTTCTTTTGTAATAGACGTATTAAACCGTTAATAAAACTATTAGAAATATGTATTCATTTATTTATAAATTATATATTGTACATATAATAGAATAATCAATGAATAAATAATTGATTCAACCTATCTTTTTATTATTGTAGTACACAACCCTGAAAAGTTGCTTAATCGTGATATCGTGAAGATTTTCTTTCTTCCCAATGGTACTTTTCAATTTTTTTTATCCTGTTATCTTTATTTTCTGAAGGAAGGGAATTTCCTGCATAAAGAATTTCAAATTTAACTTAAATTTGAAATTTTTTCGTTACATTTTCACACCCTCGCTATCTCCTATTTTACACTTATCCAACCAACTAAAAAGGGCCGTAAAAACGAGACTCGCTGACATTAAAGTGTCCAATAATTTAAGATGTCATTCGTGATCGTAAAATAAATTAATGTTATACACTTCTCTTCCCGGTTTTCGTATTAACGCCGTCAGCTACGGCCGCGTTTTATATTAGAAAATGTATGTATACAATTCATGCCGCATCAACCGAATTAAGGGTACATCTTAATTAATTGCTACACGCAGCTGCTTATTTTCTCACATATTTGCAACGAGATGTTGATGGTAATCCACTTTTTTTTACCATTGCGACGTGGCGTTTTAACAAAAAAAACTCACTAAATTATAACCGTTAACTTGAAACTAAAAGTTTACAAAAAATTCGTTTGTAAGTAATTGATTTTTATTTCCTCTTTTCAGATGATGTTTTCATAACATCGAATCAAAAGTAATAAAAAAGATGTCTTCCTCACTAAAGGTATTGTCAGTGCTGCTGGTCGTACTGTCTACCTCTTTTATCATAGCTGAAGATGAAGATTTCGCCTTCGACGTTTCCGACGATTTCGAAATTGAATTTCCAGATGATGAAACTCTTCAAAGCCAGTTCGATCTTAACGATATGGTAGCAACAGTCGGACATATATTCCATTTTGCTATACCTACGAATGCCTTTGACCAAAAAGTTGATAAGTATGAGGTAAGTAAGGAAAACCTTTCCGAATTGTTAAAATACAGAAAAGTAGAAAAAAAGAAACCAAAACGTAAAAAGAATGTCGAAAAGCAAAGTAACGTTTTAGGCCAAAAGTAGCAATGGGGCTGTACTTCCGAGTTGGTTAATGTTCGAAAAGTCATCGGGCGTGTTTTGGGGGATTCCCCTTCAGAACGACGTCGAAACTTTGTATATATCTGTTCATGGAGTTCAACCGAAAGAAACTAAGCCAATTCAATTCAAAATAACGGTAAAAGAATCGCAAGGTATTCCATCATCACATTTGAAAAAATGCTCCGAAGACGAAACTATCACACTTCTTACACTTGTAATCGATAAATCACTATCAAGCATCAAACCGAAACAAAGAGTTATGGCCATCAACAATATAGCCAAATTCTTCGGACTACCATACGTAAGCACAACATTTTTCAATTCGTAAAATGTATTTTATCTTATTTTTTTAACAATTACCATTTTCAGAGTGCCTTTTCACTCACCGAGGACCGATCTAACGGAGAATCAGGGAAACCCGTAGTGCTATTAGAACACGATAGTTCACGAAAACAAAAATCCAAGTTAACTACACTGATCCAAGTTCCTGTTGGTTGTGATGGTAGAGTTTGGCTTCATGTCGTCCCACTTGTCCACCAGCTGAAGAAACAAGTCAAAGACGGTACAATTAGCAATGTTATGAAGCTCCCGGCGACGGATTGGAAAATTATCAATAAAACTCCACCGCCAGTGATCAGACAAAAGAGATACATCGACGAAACTGGAGGTAAGATAGTTATGTAATTTAACACAAAATATTTTCTTCAATTAGGTACCCTGTTCGAATAAAATAATTCGAAGTGGTCTGTATTCTGTCGAAACTGCCATCGCGATGTCGATCTTTTTGGATCCCATCAGCGCGTCGCAGACAGCTCCGACAGAATCCCAATCCTATAATGCAGCATCTCACCTACTACAGATGGCGTTTACCGCGCCATTTGTGGTATTTTCTAATTCAAATTGTTTTATCGCGTCCACGAAAATTTTTTTAATGCACGCTATGAGATAAAAATTACTCCCAACACTTAACAACTTAAGGATTGAATACATTTGTAAACGACCCAATACAGAAACCCTTGTAACGACGTCACTAAAAGGAAAACACGAACGTGTTGCGTTAGGTCCTGCGGGTAGTGGCGACTACGAGGATTACGAATACGACTACGATGGTGATGATTACGATGATACAGAAGGAGGTGAAGAGGAAGGGGGAAGGGATGCTGAGCATTCTGTTACGAAACTTCCGTCGCAAAGTTCGACAACTGTATCGGTAGTGGAAACGGAAACACATCCGCATAGACATCACCATGGCGAGACGAGACCTGTAGAAGAAGAAGAGCCCGAGATACGTGTTGTAAAGGTGCCAACATTGGCCGAACCGTCGCCCACTTCTCCTGTGACCAGGAAAAGCGAGGACCATGGTCCTTCAGAACACACGATTTCGTGGCAACCTACCGAGAGGTCTTCTACCACTCGTATGGAGCATACGTCTGAAGCGACCACCACGTCCACAACAGCAACTTCTCCGATTTACGTATCTGAAGAAATAACTGACAATGAACAACCGATTACTCAGCGAACCAACATTTACAGACCGATTGACGTACCAGATGAAGAGGAGGAGGATTACGGTGACGATTACGAGGACTCTACCGATGACGCAGATTACGACGAAAATGTCACGGAAGTCCCTACTAATCCGCCAAATAAGATCACTCCAAAGACTGAACCAACCAGTGTGGAAACTACTAGAATGGAAACTACTCGCGCTGAAACTCCTTCTCCTTCTTCGTCGTCGTCGTCAGAAGCAAGTAACACTAATCCGCAACCAGAAGTGACACAATTTGAACCGGAAGTCACCCCCACATTCACCACTACAGTCCAAGAAAGTAGTGTAATACCAATTTATAAAGTACCATTCGTTGAAAGCACGGTATTCACGAATACCACGACTCCTACTCCTTCAACGGAATATACTACATCGCCTTCAAGAACTACCATTGTTTTTGACGATCTAACAACTAACAACGACAATCTTACAACAACATCTAAACATAGCACTCAACGACATACATTGGTAACGCAACAGGCAAGTTCAACATCTGCTGCTACCACAGTGAGTTCGACAATTACGTCAACAGTTCCAACAACGGAAACTACTATGATTGAAGTTAGGAACTATCCACCAACGATTCAAAACAGACTCAATAGCATCGCAGTAACGGCAGGAAAAGTATTCGAATATGTTATTCCCGAAAATACTTTCATCGACGTCGAAGACGGAAACAACTTGAGATTAGAGTTGTTAGATCACGAAGGTAACATGGTAGGCAAGAATTCATGGTGCCAATACAATCCTAGAGAAAGGAAGATCTACGGCTTGTAAGTTAAACGAACGAATTGACTTTATTTTGTTCTAATTCTGTTTATTTCTCTCAGACCAATCGAGGAAGATGTTTCCGGCTGGGAATACATTTTAAAAGCGACCGACAGCGAAGGAGCGTCTGTTTCTGATCATCTTAAAATCCGTGTTCAGCACCACAAGTCGCGACGTGCCGTTAATCACGAATTTTCATTGCACGTTTTCGTTGAAAAGAAATACGAATTTCCTCACACGATTGACTGGGCTTTACGAGTTCTTCGTGGTCTAGGAACTTTATATAGTCTTGGGAATTTATCAGATATCACTGTAAGGCGAATCGAACACAATAAAGAGCCAATGGTGCTGACTTGGACAAACGACTCGTTACCAAAGGATTTTTGTCCCAAAGCTGAAATACTCAATCTCTTTAGTGTAAGCGAAAATACTTTCTCATCATTCTTCTACAGCTGTAATATGAAATTGTTTTTTTTTTATGCAGATACTAACTTCAAATGACAGAGGAGATCCATCGAAAGCCTTAAGTCTAAGCCTTGCTCCTGAAATCAGGGTCAAAAAGGTCGCACATAAACTCATTGGAATTTGTGAATCTCAACCACCTGCTCCATCGGAGCCCACAAACTTTCCTCCAATTCTTCGGAACGCTGTCGATCATATAAACGCATCAGTCGGCGAACTTTTGGTGTACCGAGTCCCCGACGTAAGCATTACATTTATTTATTACCTACTTATTTTCCATAATAAAAAAATGCATCCTCCTATGTAATGTTCTTTAACTCCTGTTACCACCCTTTTAAATGTTAATATATCTTCCTTTTTTCTTGCAGGATACATTCTACGATCCGGAGGATGTGGAAGGTCGCAACCTACGAATGTTCTTGTTAACTAGTGACCGCAAACCACTACCACCCGATAACTGGTTGCAGTTCGACAGTAAAAATCGGGAATTTTACGGAATACCACTTCCGAAAAATGTTGGTCGAACAGAATATACTCTGATTTGTGAAGACTCCGGTGGATTGACAGCCCCCGACAGTCTCGTGGTCGCAGTGCATCAGCCTGCCAGAGTTAATTACAACATGGAATTCAGCATGACCGTAGAAACGGATTACGAAACGTTCGCAACGAGTCCGAACATGCAAAGAAAGTTCATAGAGAAGCTTAGAGATCTCTTTGAAGACCGGGATACTAATAACATTCACCTCACTTCAATAAGCAAAGGGTCCACAATAGTGAGTTGGTACAATAAATCCCTACCGGTGACTCACTGCCCTAAGGACGAAATAAGGAGACTGGAAGCTGTTTTAATATACAGCGATCGATCTATAAATTCTCGTGTCTACGATATAATGAGACCAGAATTTTCTGTTTCGAGAATTAATTTCCAACCTCTCGCTGCTTGTAAAACACGGCCCATAGTTGCTCCGACTCCAGAAGTTATTCTTCCTCCAGATGACTCGTCGGCTCAAGAGAGTCACGAAGAGTACCTGGTGACGTTTATAGTTCCTGCGGTTATAATAGCAGTAATGTTACTTCTAGCAGGAATTGCTGCTTGCATACTCTACCGTCGAAGACGTTCAGGCAAAATGAACGTTGAAGAGGACGGTAGACAGAGCTATGGAAACAAGGGAATTCCAGTTATATTCCAGGAGGAACTAGAGGAGAAACCGGATCCTGGAACCAAGGCTCCAATTATTTTAAAAGACGAAAAACCACCTCTAGCTCCTCCTGAGTACAGCAAAAGTGGATCCTTAAAAATGAATGATGATTCTGAACCTTATCATCCACCCCCGCCGTTTACTCGTACGCAGGATAATGGGAAACAATCTCGTCCCAAACCGACTCCAACTTATAGGAAACCTCCCCCTTACGTGCCCCCGTAACAAATAAATTTTAGGTTTTTGGAGCAATAAACTGGACCGAAAGCACTGCCACGTTTTTTCTCTCCTTTGTCTGTGACGGAACGAATGCTCTTCGTTTTCGTTTTTGAAACTGTAGGCAGTGAAGTGATAATACCAAGTCATATGACAACACTAATCTAAAAACAAAAAGCATGATATTAAAGTGGCAGCTTCATTGCGTACAATAAAAATTCTTGTTTTCGTTTATTGTAACGATAATTTTATTGATTAACCGGATTTTATATTAAATACCTATTTTTTATATCCTCGTGTAAGTACTTAGAAAGTAGGACTCAGAGGAATTGGTTTTTACACACTCCCAGAGAGCCTTCGACTTTTACAACAATTAATAAAGAAGTTAAGTCTGATTTAAAACCAAACAAACGTTAGAAATGAGCAAAATATTTCGAGCTTTGTAATTCGTCGATTTGGCCAGGTGCTTAAATTAAATATATTTTTATTTATTGAACCATGATAACACTCCAGATTGATAAATAATGTAAGCATTGAAGCAGCTAAGATTTTTAGACTATTAATCACAATTTGTGTGTAGATGTAGATTATTATTATTCGCTAACATTGAGTTTTCGTACATAAGTATTTATAAATTTTTTTAACTGGAAACTGTACATTAGAATCTCATTAACAACGTAAACGCCTTATTAAAAAAAAACAGTCTTTAAGTCACTAATAAAAACGTACTTATATCCTATATTAAATTTTTTTTTTCGGTGGTTTCTGGCAAATAATAAGGATTTCATATTTCTGTATCTATTGCACAATTTTACTTTAAAATAATCCAACCGAATCTAATAATTCGAAAATATCAAATTTTTTTAGATTTTTNGATAATTAAAATTGAGTTTTCCAGTAATTTTTAATCTTCATAACTATTATTTTAAACTAATATTTTATTGAATAACTGAAAAATCGATTGATCCGAAGAAAAGCAATAATTCGATATTAATTGACTAGTTACAACAGTTTTCAAGAAATTTAAAACTACATATTAATAGCATCAGACCACCTTTGTTTCAGTTTACCTTGCAAAAGTTAATCACTCTGTATATTCTAGACTTTTTTCGTTAATATCTTCATCAGTGTTTCTTATACCGAATTAAATATTTTTTTTTGTGAATAAAATGGTAAACGTGAACATTTTTAGATGGTAGATATGACTAACAAGGCTGTTTATTATTTTTTTTATTGCTTTGTGTGTAGGTGCTTTTTACAAATTATAATATTACAATATTAATTGAAGTAATATTATACAGAGAAAATGAACAATCAGCTAGAAGTATGTATGTCTGTTTGTATGTACAAACTTATTATCAGTCTGATTAACGATACTTTTTTTGTATAGTGTTTCATATGCTTAACTGGTGTTTATCATATACATATGTATGGTTTAAGTTACCATTAGGTCTCAGCGTACGCATTTATTATTACAATAATTAAATATGTTCATGTAAAAATGTGTAAGTCATTTATAAAAATAAAATTCGAAAGGTAAAAACTCGTTTGACACTGTATGTGTTAAGCTGCACAACAAATTTAGAACTTCATACTTTAAAGAAAGCTTTAGTTATTAGCTTAAATTATGTATTCTACGATTATATTTTATAAATGATTTATCTAGAAAATTGTAAGGAAACGTCGCTAAAAAAACGCGCTTTTTTATTCTTCTAAAAAATTCGGAAATAGAGTTTTGATGTTCACTTAATACGCCTTTTGAGTATGTGATGGTCATAAAAGTCACCATTACAATTGAGACACTAAAATGCTTACAGGCCCAGAGTTCATAATAGATGAAAAAAGTTCTTTTTTGTACTATTTTGAGTTTAATTTCCTACTATCGCGGTGCACCTGAATTCCACGTATCAATAAAATCGAATAAGCGTTAATTCCACTGGCGAAAAGAAACATGCTAATTCCCACCCAAACTACAAATTGTGCAATTTTCCAAACTAGAAATTTATTGCTACTCTTTCATACTCTGATTCAATTAGTCATAATCAATAAGTAATTATTATTTTGCTTATGTTTTATCTTTTGGCTTTATATTATTATATATTATAT